TTCTACTTCTTGTATTTGGAATAAGTAATACTGAAGTAAAGACTGAGGTCTGTATACTTGATGATCTGCACTGTTTCTAAGTAGAGAAATATATTTTTTTTATTACCACTAGTATGCTTCTTTTTGAGAATGGAATTGTGCCAACAAAAAGTTTTAGGAAACCGTCTAGCACATTTTTGTCTAACCCTAGGTGGGAAATAAACTAATTTGTCTAGGCTTCGAAAATACCTAGTATGACTCCTAAACATGAGTTGTTGCTGCCTGTTTTATATTAAAAATGTCTGACATAGGTATATGCAAAACCATGACTTATTAAGATATAACTTTGTTGCATGTTTTTGATCTGGAAGTATTTAACTATAGAATTAGTAAAAATGCTTTACGTATTATAATGTTTCTTTAATGTTCTTTTGTTGTCTTTTTTCCAACAGATTTTAATATACCCTTCGCAGTAGACATATGCCTGACCAAAGAGAATAATACAAGTTCTGTGAAATCTACTCAGGAAAAACTAAACTTAGATGGAAGCATTCATTCATCTCTTCAGACTTCTGTAAAGCTAAATCTTCGATCTCGAAAAAGTGGACGTCTGCGCAAAACCACCCATCGTTACTCTGTGCGAGATGCAAGAAGATCTCAGCTGTCCACTTCAGATTCCGAAGGAAATTCTGATGAAAAGACTACTGTAATAACAAAACACAGACACTCCCAGTTACTGCAGCCTTTTTTAACATATCCTGTTAGGGACAGCTACCTTGTAGATAGAAGTGATCGCCTACCTGTGGAAGTGGTACCAAATTCTAATACCAATGCCCCTAACGTAGAAAATTCCAGCAAAATTATTCCAGCACATGAACTAAACCCAGAAACTTTGAATGAGCCAGCTGCAGGAACTTCTGAGAGCAACAAGGATAACTCTCCTTTTGACTTATGCCATGTCTTACTGTCTCTCTTAGAGAAAGTGTGCAAATTTGATATTACTTTGAATCACAGCTCTGCTCTTTCAGCCAGTGTGGTGCCCACATTAACAGAGTTCTTATCAGGATTTGGAGACTGTTGCAATGTAAGTAGTAACAGAGAAAATGAAGTAGTTTCTGCAGGGTGGACAGAAGAACCTGTGGCTCTGATCCAAAGGATGCTCTTTCGAACAGTGCTGCATCTTATGGCTTTAGACATTAGCAATACAGAAACAATGCCTGACAATTTACGAAAAAATTTAACAGACTTACTTAAAGCAGCATTAAAAATCAGAATTTCCTTGGAAAAGCAACCTGGTCCTTTTTCTCCAGGTTATGAGAAAACACTACAACAGCCAGTTCAGGATGACTACATATTTTCTAGATATCGTCACAGAACCTTGCTTCTACCTGAGGTTATAAAAGGCGCCTTGCAGATTTTGATCTGTTGCCTACAAAGTGCAGCCTCCAATCCATTCTACTTTAGCCAAGCTATAGATCTGGTTCATGAGTTCATACAGCATCAGGGATTTAAGCTATTTGAAATAACAATGCTTCAAATGGAATGGCTATGTATGAAGAATGAGGGAGTACCTGGGGAAGCCTCAGAGCATCTGAAAACTCTAATCAACAGTATCATGAAAATAATCAGCACTGTCAAAAAAGTGAAATCAGAGCAGCTCCATCAATCAATGTGTACAAGAAAGCGGCACAGACGATGTGAGTACTCTCACTTCATGAATCACCACAGAGATCTCTCTGGTCTCTCTGTAATTGCTTTTAAAAACCAAACTTCCAAAAACCCTTTTGAAATTTCTGATGGAGAAGTTCATTATCCTGAGAGATGCTGTTGCATTGCTGTTTGTGCACACCAGTGTTTGCATTTGTTGCAGCGAGTTTCTTTGAGCAGTACCTGTGTTGAGATTCTCTCGGGTGTACATAATGTAGGAATATGTTGTTGTATGGATCCAAAGTCTGTCATTGTCCCACTGCTCCATGCTTCCAAGTTACCAATATTAAAAAACTTTCAGCAGCACATACTGAACATCCTTAACAAGTTTATATTGGATCAACTGGGTGGAGCAGAAGTATCTCAAAAAATTATACAGGCATCATGCAATATATGTACTGTTGACTGTGATCAACTCGCTCAGCTGGAAGATGCCTTGCAGGGCAACTCTAGTGATGCTAGTCTTGCATCTAGTTCCTCTTGCAGAGTTCAGGGAATTCTGCCTAGCACTGGATCTGAAGATATGTTGTTGAGATGGCATGCATTGGAGGCTTATCAGGACATTGTTTTTGAAGAAGACAAGCTACGTGGCACACAGATTGCAAGCCATATTTGCCACTTAATTCAAAAGGGAAATGTAGTGGTCCAGTGGAAACTATATAACTGTATCTATAATCCCGTGCTTCAGGGAGGAGTTGAGCTAGCTTGCCATGCTCAACAAGAACTTGGACTAAGTACAGCTGATAAACACACATGCAGTTACCATAGCCAGGATTTGCCTTCTGAAGTACTTCAGGTTTATTTGCAGATGCTCCCCGTGTTGCTTAAATCCAGGTTGGTTGATTTTCTGTTTATTATTGGAAAGCATGCTAATTATGTACGTAGCTTTGTATATTTGTTAGTGATCAGAACATAAATTTTATTTGGACTCTAGGCAGTGTTTGGATATTGCAGGTGGCAACAAGGTAAATGCTTGAGTAACATAAGATATATGCCTAGATCCATAAACCATAGAAAGTGAGGGTGCTCTACTCATGAATTATGGTCTTTAATAAGCCAAAGTGTGTAGAAACAAATAAAAATCTTTGTCCAATGTGACATGCTCTCTGCCTCTTCATTCCACATGCTAAAATTAGTCAGGAATGTTGAACAGACTGATATGTCATTTTTCTGTGGGAATTAGACTTAGTTTTCTGTTTCCCTTTTCCTTCTAGAATGGTTACTATACCATCTTTCAAAATAAGTCTTGATGTTTACCTGTCCTGAAATAACTGTTTTCTAATTTACAAAATCCTGTTCATTTTAACATAGTTGAGAAACAAAACCAAACCAATCCCAGAACACAAAAACGCAACAAACATTCTTCCAAGGCATGAAATAGTAACTTTCTATTTATTGTTGAATTGATGCCATAATGTTTTAATACAATATATAGAAGTTTTTTTAGAATATGAATGTGTCCTTTTGTCCAGGAAAGATTCTGATTTTATTTCTGTTGGACTCCTGAAATGAATTTAGTGGGGGTCATCCAAGACAATTACAAAGATTAGACTAGTATTCCAGTTTACGTAAAGGGATTGTCTGATACAATTTTACTTCTATCCTAGTCTACACTGTATCAGTAGCTATTAATTTTTGAAAGTGCACTTAGTGGCAAAGAGGCAGGAGGAGTTAAGTTTAGATTTTAAAAAGGAGTTTAAAATATCCTTTTTCTTACTGGCTTAAAGATGGGAATATACAAGTAAATGATTGATTTGATTCTAGAGTAACTTGGTTAGAGTAAAAGCTGATCCTGTGAGAAGGAGATGAGTGGTAAGTAAGGTAGATGTCTAAAAGCAAATGTAGTATGCTAAAAAGCTTACAGATCCTTACTCCAAATTTTGTATGAACTTAGCGTAAATACTTGGGGAGTAGAAAAAAAGGAAAAATAGACTTGGAAACAAATATACAAAAAGTTTTTTGACATTGACATGCTGGCAATAACAATTGCACAACAAGTTGTGCTTGAAAGGTGTTCCTGAATTCTATCTGAAATACATCATCCACACAACTAAGATATAGCTAGGAAAATGTCTTCAATTTTGAGAAGGAATCTCTGCTTTCTGGTGAAATCACAGAACAGAGAAATTAACAAAAATATTTACTAGCTCCAGTTGCTAAGAAAAAGCTGGGGGGGAAGTACCACTAAAGAGCAAATGTCATAAATAAAGTTGAACGCTTTTAATGTTTTGAACATCATACATGTTTGTGGTCTAGATTTTAGAGGGAGGTATTTCTTTCATCGTATCTTACAAAAGAAGTTGAATTTTCCACTACTAGTTGAATGATGCTTACTTGAGATTCTAGACTACAGTGAACAAGTTCATCCTCTCTTTAATTTACAGTAATTTACAGCAATTAGTGAACTACATGAATTTGTGGCTGATTTATAAGGTAACTTTTATGCTTTATCTTGCAGGGTAATTAGAGACTTGTTTCTGAGTTGTAATGGAGTGAGTCAAATGATTGAGTTAAATTACTTAGATACATTAAGAAGCCATTCTTTGAAAGTGTTGGAGACTTTGATACTCTGCCTTGGTGATGAGCAGAAAGACCAAGCAACGCCAGAACTGGAAGGCCTGAATGGCGAACAAAAGGAATCTACATCTGACTTACCTGCTTCCCTTTGTAGCCAACATGCTGTTTCAGAGATTCCTCAAAGCCTGAGCAAGTTTTATGCTGGCTTGAAAGAGGCCTACCCAAAAAAGAAAAAGTTTGTGAGCCAAGACATTCATGTCAACACAATAAACCTGTTCCTCTGTGTTGCTTTTTTATGCGTGAGTAAAGAAGCAGATGGTGATCTGGATTCAGCTAATGACTCTGAAGATACATCAGGATATGATAGTACAGCTAGTGAGCCATTAGGCCACAAGTTACCATATCTGTCACTGGAAAGCCTTACTTTGCCCTCACTGGAACATATTCATAGGGCTGCAGATATTTGGTCCATGTGTCGTTGCATCTATTTGTATAGTTCTGTTTTCCAGAGACAGTTCCATAGACTTGGAGGCTTTGAAGCATGCCATAGATTACTAATTCTGATAATTCAGAAACTTGGAAAAATTAAGGAAAAGGAGCAAGAAAAGAGGGAGAGAGTATTGAGTGAAAGCAGCAGAAGTTCACATGGGAGTCCTCGTACTGAGCTTCTCAACAAGGACGATTCTGTTCATCTGGCTAAAAGCAGAGAGGTGACACAATTGGAGCTTGATAATTCTGGCAGTCTTGCTGGTGTGGAACAACTGGTGCCTGACTCTGTCTCCTGTGACAGCTCTTTGAGTAGGGAACACTCCTCAGTTATTTCAGTTGCCAATCTTGAAGGGATAAAGACTTCTTTAAGAGAAGAGGCTGAGTGGGCACTTCAAGGTATCAGACTCCTAGAAGCTCTGCTGACCATCTGTCTACACAGCGCAAGTAACATGCAGAAGATGGAAGTGGAGATGTTTCACCAGGTACTGTGCAGCTTCCCTTAGCTTACTTTGCTCGTATTTGTTACATACAATAATATTTTAACAGGAATTTAGTTCTTGTAGGGAGGGGAAAAAACTTATGCTTTTCTTATAGTACCATATTTTCCGTAGAACTGAAAGTATACAGTTAAAGCATGTGCTTAGTAGTTGGAGTAGCGGTCCTTTTGAGTGGTACTCTTTTTGAAAAGAGTATTCAGTGGATAATGTGTGTGATAGGGATGCTGCAGGAAAGCTGTGTAGGCAAGATTATACATAGTAACACAGTTTTTGATCAAAGTTCTGAGCACAGCATGGTGCTTGAGAAAGAGGAGTATTGCAGGGCACAGGTGCTGAAAAGACACCTGAAAAAAAAATATTACTTAAGCTTTAGAGGTGAACTAATTCAGTGTTCCATGAAAAGTTGTTAATTCACAGAAGACAACTTCACATTGCTTTAATGTTTTAATTGCTATCTTGAATTTTATTTGGCAGTTTGTTACAAAAGCAGGAGGCATTAAGTACAAGAGAGAACTGAAAACTGGAGTTCTGTCTGGACTGCTTGCAAGTTTTGTGATCTTGGACATGTCACCCTCTGACTTATTCACTTCTAGTAATGTTGTGGTGTGATTTGAATGCGCACTATGTACCTGAAACTGTTTCAAGGTCATTTATTTTTGAAACATTGCTTTTACCTGCAAATTTTAGATAACAGCATTTTGCCAGATTTTTTCGGAGTGCAGATTCCAGTTAAATCTCTGTGACAAACAAGATGAATATTTCTTTTTTCAAGAGACTGAATGAAGTGTGATGGTTTTAGCTGAGAAGTTAGATTAATGTAGGTGGAAGGAGAAGTTCTTAAATAAAAGTACTAGGCTACTTCTGTTAGCCAAAACATAGTAACATGAATCAAAATGTTTGTCTCCCCCAAAACACAGAACACCTGTGTGGATGATATCTTACTTGAAATAAGAGAGCAGCTTGCTCAATCAAAAGTGATAGAAACTGACTTGGCAAAGCCTCTGTTTGATTCACTGCTTCGTGTTGCACTGGGCACTTTTTCTGCTGATCTTGATCATTCTGAAGAAAAAATTGAGAAGGTATGAAACACCAACTAACCCGTCTAACTGTGAATAATGCAAGATTCTCCTGGGTTTTTGTTGTTTAGGTCTTTTTAAACTCAATAGGAAATGTTATATATCTTTTGATTACTGTGGCAGTTGAAGATGAATTCTCTGCTTCTCGTAAGTGAAATGCTGCTTATTGATATGGTCCCCACATTTACTGTTCAGAAATGAGCCATGCTCCAAACAGTGGCAAGCTCAGTCAACCTGATGTTCTCTTTACTCTTTCATCTCACAACAGTGTGACAAACTCTCGAAGAGCTTCAAACAGGGATGTTGAGTGACCTTATCACCTTAGAGTGAACATCAAGGTGCACGTTGATGGTGATAGTGATTTTGGAAACCTAGTTATTCTTAATACATTGGCCACCTGCTTGCTAAAACTTTGATCAGATAGTTAATATGAAAAATCCGTCTTTGCAGATTCAGTTTTTTATGTAAGAATGAAGTATTCTTAATGTATCTCAAGTTTCTTGAAAGTATATGATTAATTTGTTTATTTTGCTGATGGGCTTGGAGAAAATAGTCATTTGTAAGGTTCTAAATTATTTGCTTTTCTGATCCAAAGATATTTTTTCTTCTGACCAATGATAATCTATTTGCTTGATGTATTGTACAGACCCATTACACTGAAAAGGAGCCTGTGTCACAACCTGGAGAAATTTCCGAAGAAACTGAAGAATCACAATGCTGTAGTCTTAAAGTTTTTGCTGAAGAGGAAGGATATGAAGCAGATAGCGAGAGTAACTCTGATGATAGTGAAACCAAGGATGAAGGTAAATGTGAACTTTCTGAATATAGAAAGCTGTCTTTGCGACATAGCAAAGTTTGACTTTTGAAATGTACCAGAATGGGGCAAGCATCAGATACATTTAACAGATGGAAATAACAACTTTTTTTGCTTTCAGTATGATGCAGTTACAGTTAGAAAGATGATGAATATTCTTACTGAGCGTTGCAGAAACTGTTGTTTTGGTTGTCTTTTGTTTATGTGACTTTTGCTCTAAAGTCATGTTGCTCAAATATATTATCGTGGTCTAGGAGCTCCAAAGATGTTTATTACTTGGTTTGAAATTCAGTGCTCAAATTTTTTTTATTTAGAATTGTAACTGTCCAGTGAAAACTAAATAATCTAATTGTATTATAGAATACTAGGTTGGAAGGGACCTCAAGGATCATCTGGTCCAACCTTTTTTGGCAACAGCATGGTCAAGACAAGATAGCCAGGCACTCTCTCCATCTGAATCTTAAGTGTCCGATGTTGGGGAATCCACCACTTCCCTGGGGAGATTGTCATACCAATGACTGATTGTTCTCATTGTGGAAAGCTTTCCTCTTGTGTCCATTTGGAATCTCTGTGAGAGTAACATGAACCCATTACGCATTAATTTTTGTCTGCATGACTCCTTGGAAAACAAGGGTCTTCATCTTCTTTGTAGGTACCTTTTAAAAACTAGAACATGGTGATAAGGTCTTCTCTAAGCTACCTTTTCCCAAGGCTGAACAAACCCAGTTTTCTCAACCTTTCCTCCCATGTGTTTTGCGTAGTGGTCACCAAAACTGAACAGAGCTTTCCAGGTGAGACCTGACAAGCGCTAAGTAGAGTGGGATAATGATTTCTTTACCCCTGTTGGTGACACCTTTGCAGCCCAGCACCCTGGTGGCTTTTTCTGTTGCAGCAGCCCACTGTTTACTGATACTGAGCTTGCTGTTTACTGGGACACTCAAGTCCCTTGCCACAGAGCTGCTCCACAGCTGGGCAGATCCAAGCCTGTGCTGCACTTGTGGATTATATTTTCCCATGTGCAAGACCTTACATTTGTCCATGTTTAATTTCAGCCCACTCTTACAGCCTGTCAAAGTCTTCCTGTAGCCCAGGCATTCATTTCCCCACTCAGTTTGGTATCATCGGCAAACTCCATCAAAGTAGACTTGACAGATCACTTATGAAGACATTAAACAGCTTTGAGGTGATATCAGTCCCCAGGGGACTCCACTTGTGACAGTTGCCAGTTTGAAAAGGAACCATTTACCACCACCCTCTGGGTGCAGCCGGACAACCAGTGCCCACCCACCGCACAGACCCCTTGTCTCGACCCTAACACATCAGTTTCTCTTGACCCTAACACGGTTTCTCTAAGAGAAGGCTGTGGGAAACTGTTGAAAGCCTAGGAGAAATCTAGATAGACAATGTCCACTGCCCGTTTCACATCAACCAAACAGGTTATTTGGTTGTAGAAAGCAATCAAGTTTGTCAAGCATGATTTGGCCTTGGTGAATCCATACTGGCTTTTCCCAATCACGTGCTTCATTTGACTTGTGATTGCCTCCTCGTTATACAACATATCCCTTTATATTCATTCAACGATTGATGTATCCATATCTTGCTGTATTCTGTTTGTGTAATTAATTTTAAACATGAATTAATTTTTTTCTTTTGTGCTGAACACGTCTGGATGCTTCCATTCTGGTATGAATAGATTAATAGAACTGCATTAAACTGTTGCTTTTTACCTGCATGACTAGGCCTTATGAATAGATATATAACATTGTAAAAGCATTTCTGAATTAAAAATTTCATCTGAAATACTTTCATGAAACATTTGTATGAAACTTGTACCAAATAATTTTAAGTAACGTGTTTTAAACTCTCTTCAAGATGTAACAGGAGGTGCTTGTGCTTTTCTTTTTTGGTTATTATGCAGATATTCTGTCATGCGTTTTCTGAGTTAAATAACTAAACTGCTTCCCCAAAACTTTTAACAAAAAATAATTTAAATTTATGTCCTTTCTTGGCAGGCTCAGAGTTTTGTATAGAAATTTGAGGCTCTGTTACAATGATTTTAGTGTCATGTTTCATGCATTGCATATTTCACCATTACTGTGTGTCCAGTTCCCAAGAAATGAAGGCACGTAGTTTAAGAGCATGTAATGGGAGAAACTGCATCCTCACCCTTCTGTGTTAGCAGCAAAATAGGAAAATCTGAAGAAGAATAGAAGATTATGCTAACATAGGCTAGTGACTACTTTTGGTTTGTACTTTATGAGATGGTTGAAGGAAGTATGTCCTTGAATGTTCTGCTTAAATCATGTAATCTGTGTTCAGCTGAGTAAGTTTCAGTAAGACAAGTGTTTGGTTTTTTTTTTTTCAGGAGCAGACACAAAGGGAGAACCAGGTCCTTCAGGTTATTTTAATGACCTAACTGAAAACATCAATCAAGGAGAATTAATGTATCCTGAAATTTGCATGTTAGAATTAAACTTACTCTCAGCTGGTAATGCAAGTTTAGATGTGCTTGCTCATGTATTCCGAAGCTGCCTGAAAATCATCAGCCAGAAGGAGAGAAATGCCACTGTACTTATAGAACAGGTAAAAATGTTATTAATGAAGGCAACGGTCTGGAGGTTGTGTATCTTTTCTTCAGTTTTATAGTACCAGTCTATCTAATAGAGTGATCTCAAATGTTCTCACTTCTTATGGGGTTTTATAAGATCTGAAACAGTATAAATGACTGATATTGCCAACTGCGTTGTGTTTAGGTTACCAGGAACTAAGTAATGTATTGAAAGATATTTGAGCTGCAGAGCTTTTGAGTTTTCCAGGTGTCTTATTTTATCAAGACTATTCAATCACTAGGGCTAGAGCTAGAGATGTAATGATTGTCAGGGCATTAGAAAAAAAAAAACGGCAGATATCTGCTTGTATATGTATGTATGTAAACATTCTACACATACATGTATTGAATATGTACTTTTAGAAACAGTGAGTCATATACCTCAAAAGTATTTAATGCTTTTATTCTTCCTAAGTTAATATTAGAAATTGCTTATTCAAATGTTGATGTCTTCACAATCCT